TTTTTTTTTTTTTTTTTTTTTTTTTTTTTTTTTTTTTTTTTTTTTTTTTTTTTTTTCTTCAAGACATGGCTAAATGTCTTCTTTTGTACTTTTTCATCATAAATTTTCCATCTCTAATAATTTATTTCAAACTGCAACCAATGCAAAAAAGTGTTTACTCATTTGTTTTTGTCAATGCAATCATATTTTCTCTGTACGGCTGTAAAGTTTGAAATTTTAATAAAAATTTTATGCACGTGTTCAAAGAACGAGATTACGTATCGACGCCTTTTAAAAAGAGCAACGGAGCTCAGATTTTTCCGTTTGAATTAACATGGAAAAATCGGAGCTCCGTTGTTCTTCGTAAGAGGCGTTGGTATGCATATTGCACATGTAATATGCGCGCGTCTGCAGCACTTGCAAGTTAGAAAATTTCCACGGATGTCGATTTTTCATCCGATTGGTAAGGGAAAAAAAAAATTAATTTATTGAATGACTTAATGAGAGACGATTTCTTTCGTATCGAACAATGTATAGTCAACTGAATTAGTTGCCAGCACTACATATGTATATAGGGTTTATTAAATTCACTGTAGGTATATGTATATATGTGTATGCACATGTGCGTGAGCCGGTATTATCGAGCGGCGTCTCACACTTGTTACGTGCACCTATATATATTATAAGAGAGCATCAGAGACTGTGCGCGTGCTCTCTCCCTCTCAATACACTATAGACACATTTCTCTGCCTCGTCTTCCATAAACAAATTTTTGCTCTAATCAACGGTATACCGTCGTACTTATTATTATTTTTTTTTAAATCTCTCGATAAGGAAACGAGTAAGTATCTGCACACACGCATGTGTAATACATACATAATATGCGATTGCATCGTGCGTTATATATTAAAAAAGAAAAAAAAAAAAAATCACATGTATATCTAAAGAATTTCTCATTGATAACTTCCCCGAGGTAAAATTATCGTGCGATGACTTTTTATCGATTTTACGATAAAAATATTTATCTATTTATCTATTTTTATGAAATTCCTACAAATTAATTTAACGAATGATATTTTATTTTTATTTCGTGCCAGTAAAACGTTACGGTGAAGATAATTTTACGTATATAAGTGTATTTCCCAAGAGAATCCAAGCTCGTATATTATCGAGGGCTACGCCAATTTCATTAGGCATACAGTATATTATATGCTTGGTGCAGTTGAAAACTGCTTTTCCAAATGCTGAAAATTTTAAAGCTGTACATTCGAGGGACAGGCACGTGCACAATTTTAATGTATGCGTGTTAAAAACGTTGGCATGGACAAGTTATTTCTAAATTTACTTCGAAAAGGCTCCTATTGGTCGTTGTACATTTTATGCATGGATAAATAATAATTTAAAAAAATAACGGCACACTTCATATGTATATGCAGATTTTCCACCCAAAAGTGCTAATTATTTGATGATGCGTATTCCGATAGGACAGGTATCACCTATACCTTTGAATTATCGATTGTGTACTTGAAACTCTCCTATTGATTGTTAAATAGTTATTTAAAGCTTCACGATGCTCGTTGCGAAACGCGTATTCTTACGGTATCAACAACTGATTGTTCATGAACAAAAAAAAAAAACAAAGTATATATTTGTTGACGATTGAAAAACATCTATTGTTTATTTGTATGATTTATTTTTTCGTGAAAAATGAAAAAAAAAATTTCTAGCACAAGTGGTTTGATTACAGACGAGAGACCAAGTAAGTGCAGAAGCAGCAAATGAAGATGAGGATAAATATTACTGTGATTTAACATGTATATACATACATTTTTATCGTAGCCATGACACGAGGCTCGTTGGCGCACACGTGCGATGTAGTGTACCGGCGATTCCGTCAAAGTTAGTGTGTAAAAAAAAAAAAAAAAAAAGAAAAAAAAAAGTAACGAAATGGCACCAAAGTATGAAAGAACCGCGTGTAAAAAAGTATAGACAAGTACGTAGTAAACTTTACACTGAACTCAATGACGAAATCAACCATCAACAATCGGTCAATTTAATGTACTTTATTTTTCTGCTCTAAATTTATTGATCACTGTTTTTTTTATTTGCATGATTTGTATTGAAAAAAAAAANATAAACAATGCTATGATTCTTTTGTTTATATTCGCTTGCTTTGAGCGCAATTCCGAAATCGCGCCCCCACTGGGCACTTTGAGAACGATTGGTCGTGATTAGAAAAGGACAGTACTATGAATTAATTTCCATATGCTTGTACTGCTTCTAGCAAAGCGACATTTAAGGGTTGGCCACATGGTGAATGGATCCGGAAGCTCGATTTCACAATGCTTATATATATAGATATATATACCTTTTCTAATCACGAATCCGAATCACGACCAATCGTTCTCAAAGTGCCCAGTGGGGGCGCGATTTCGGAATTGCGCTCAAAGCGAATTAAGACATAGACTTGTTATGTTATTAACCACCATTCCAATAAGCTTCGATAGTTTATTAATATGTGAATTATCGTCTTGGTTCTGCTTCCTGTGTTTTATGAAAATAACAAAAAAAATATTGGAAACAAAAATAGCCATGCTTGCTCTAGTTGATTCATTAAGTTACTGTAGAGGAATATTGAAAGTAAGTGGATTGTGAGTTAGATCAACAAATTTGGTGGATTTGAGACTTTTGAGAGACAAAGGGAAATAAAGATTCAAGATGAATTTTTTAAGGAACAAAAGTGAGAAGTATAGAGATCACAGGCACGACACGCGGCGTCGACTAATATACTAATAGCCAACGGCGTCGATGACGACTATACAAGCAAAGTCGAGCGTTCAGAGAGCAAACGCGATTGGCCCGCACCACACGCCACGCCAGTCTAGCAAATTTTTTTTTTTTTTTTTCATTTTTTTTTTTCGTTCGATACGCGACCCTCAAAACGCGTACATGTGTCCATAATACGTGCAAGACAAACATGCGTGTGGTTACACATACAAATACACGCATAAATCGAAAAAAAAAATTATTTCTCATGATAAGACAGATAGTGGGCCAGAGCCAACATTTCTGGGTACACCCGCGAATGCGTGGGATGGCGCAGTCATCGGCAGAGCGTTTGAGTAGGCTTCACACTCACTGAAATAACTATACTCACCGGATGAGCTTTTATCACTGTACAGATACTACGGATTTTTTTTTTTTTTTTTTTTTTCTTGGACACGCTCTTTTTTTCTATCACCGATAAATGACATTTGGTATTGTTTGGAATCGACAATCGGAGGATGAAGCGCATCATTTACACGCAGGCGTACCCCGGCCGAGCCTTTTTTAGTCAACCTCCCGAGGGTTGGTCGAATTATTTCCAGCTATGGTTCCACGTGGCACGAAAGCCGGCCGATACCATACGAGCTTTACCCGTCTTTTCGTAAGATGAGATTTTTTTTTTGTTAAATTTCTGTTGCCCTTTACACATCGTTTTCATTACGAGCTTGCAGAGTGACCAATAATTAGTATACATTTATAGCAAGATATTTTTTTTTTCCACCCCATCCGTAGAACAGTGAACAGTTTTCTTGAAGCGTTATTGCCAACGAGAGCTGTCTCACACACTTTCGTTACTTGTACCACAATGTATTTGTTCTAATTTGTCTTGTCAAGCACTAGACAGGACCCCTGAGTCCTTAGTGCCAAATAAAAACTCAACTCATCAGTGTGATACTGGAATTTTAATTGATCGTTAATAGACACGAATCAATCGGACACGGTGCAAATGAAGCGAGAGAGCGCGTTTAATGTGAAACTGTGTGTCAGTGAGCGACAACGCGGACAAGACTTTTGAAGTCAGTTAATGGGGATCAAAAAATTTTTTTAAGAGACAACCGTTGGCGCAAAATCGTTGTGTAACCAAGTAGTAAATTGTAGTGAAAATCGGACTCGATTTAACTGTACGTACGCGCGCTAAAATTGTCTTAGTAACCGGTCAAATCGGCGTATCGCTTGACTCTCCTTTCGAGATAACTAGAGAAAAAGATTATATTCTGTATTTCAATTATCAATCATGTGTACGAAACCCCACTGCGTACAAAAAAAAGTCCAACGCGAAAGGAAGCCCCAAAGAACAAATTGTACGAATATTGTCATTATTAGCCGCTGCTCGTATATGTAGTCGCGCTCCCGGTGGATGGATATATATATGTATCCCGTCATATCGTACGTTAACTGGCTGGTCGACTGTCTAAGTGTGC